ATCATGAGAAAAAATACCTCAAGTCAACATCAACAGCAATAATTAAAATAAAAATATAATAATTTTCAAAACCAATCAATCCGTAGTGCGTTCCTGGTTTTGGCGCGACACCACCGCGTCGCGCAGCTACCCTAATGCTAATAATTTGTTATTATTTGATATTGCGTATGATAAACTAGGAAGATCTATAATTATCAATTTGTATAAAATCTGTCTCTGGAAAATATTTACTAATTGGTTTGTCTTTAAATTATAAAGTTCAATGTATCCAATGTCTTCTTTTATAGTATCAACTAAAAAATAATGCTTATTTATGCAGTATTCAATATACCCGCATATAGTGTCATATGCATCATGGCATGCCTTATCATATTCCTCACCTACGTTAATAAAAATATATCTATATTATGAATGATGGCGTTGTATATTCTTCTTGGATATTTTAACTTTTGTACGTTACTAATGTTAATAAATTTATTCTTCATATTAATATGATATTTGTGGATCCCCGATAATGTTAAGATAATAAGAAGGTGTCCATCATTTTGACTAGTTTTGTCAATTATCTGTTTATCATTATCTTTTTCAACATTTTGATTAGTTATTTTGTCATTTTTAGAAAACAATTTGACTATTCCACCATATTCAATTGGTAATTCTTCAATATTACTAATTGAATAATCATCATTAATCATGAAAACAAAAGTAAATCCATGATTGAGTGTTCCTATCGGATGTATTCCAGTAGGGTTTCCCTTATAATATTTTATATCTTTAAGGTTAATACAAGATATTGTTAATAACCTAAATTTTGGTAAGCTAGTTAATTTATCTGATACGGCAATAGACCATTTCAATATGTTTTCATGTTCATTCTTAATTAAATTTAGTTGCTTATCAGTAAATTTAAATGCAGTAGGAGCACTTGAAAGTTCCCTGTATGATGTTTTCTTGTCATCTTCTAGATCTGTATCGTTATCTGATTTTAAATTATTCTTTAGCTCCGGATTATTTTCTGTAACTAAGCCTTCTTTATTCAAATTTTCAATAATATACATTTGTAATTTGAATTCTAAAAGATTTTAAAAAGTTTATTAACAACACTAATCGTTTAATTAAAGGTTATTCCGCAAAATATTTACCAATATCTTTTTTAATACGAATTCAACTAAAAAGTCGCCTTCCGGACTAATCGCAAAATATTTTGAAGGCATCATCTTTTCATCACCTTCGTCTTTAGATTCATCTTTGATTTCCGGGTCTTCAATTTTAACTTCGATAAAATCCTTATTTTGACTAGTTGATGCTGACATAATGACAAAATAATTTATTATTTATCTTCAAATTTAACATTTAACTACCATTTTTTTTATCGGTCAATTATTAATAAATTTAAATAAGAACGGAGTGAAATTTGTCGCATTTAAAATGTCCTACGTGGCTTAAAATGGTCGAAAAAAAGATTTATTTATTATGGCTCAAGAAACCAGTATTTTTGTTTTATTATGGCTCAAAAAATCAATATATATTTTTTATTATGGCTCAAAAAATCAATATTTTTGTTTATTATTGTAATAGTGGCTTCTTCAAGAAATTGACTGTAGAGATTTATTCTAAGTTGTTAACATATTCCATTAACATTTAAGATTTATATGTGCATACCCACATGGCGATAGGCTAATATATAAAATAACTAGCATTCCTTCGTCACGGGAATTTTTTTGAAAAATCGATCATTACTGTAAAAAATTCCGTTACAGAACTTGCTTCAGGTAATCGAAGTATGTGTTAAGTTGGCTTGCATCGGAATTATTGTGACTCCAACTCCTAACATAAGCTATAGTAAAATTTACTTCTTTTCCAGTGACAATAGTTTGTAGTTAATGTTGAATTTGTATTGAAATTATTGTAAATTCTATCAGAGTTGCTATAAAATATTCTTTTTGTTACAAGATTCGTTATTCTAGTCAGCATGGTTTTTGTATTTAAGGTCAAGCTAGTTTGCAACAGAATCATCGTGACTTCTACCATGAGCTAAGTAAAATTTATTTGCTATTCCAGTTGCAATAGTTTGTAGTTAAAGTTGAGTTGGTTTGTATTGAAATTATCATAATTCCTATCATAAGAAACTCTGTTACGAAATTGATGTACCTTTATTCATTTCTAATTAATTATTCTTCATTTCTTGTCGAAGACGAAAAATTCGGCTTTTAAAAATTAAACTAAATTTCGATTCCTATTCTTTGGCAAGATATATTTTCGTTCAAACGAAAGCATTTATTTATTTCTAATTATTTTTTGTTTCTTATAAACAAATATAAACATATAAAATTATTTACTTTGATTTCGTTTATCATAATTCTTCATGCATTCACGATAAATATTAATAATACCTTGGTCGCTTGGAATCCTAACCCAAGATTTATTTTTATAACGGCACCTGTTCGAGCAATATATTTGTTATAACAATTTTTCCCATAAATTTTCGTACAAACTAAAGCACACCAAGCATTTTTGGACAAGCATTCGGACGAAAATTTAAAATCGTTGACATTATTGTTATGACAATCATAAAATGATCAGTAATTATTTTATTATACAGATCATGCCGAATCAATAACTTAGCCGGAAGGTGTCCCAGGAATTATGGTAATAGCTAGGTAATAGCTGTAAAAAAATAAAATTTTTTTCTCCTTCCTAATATTTATGTGACCCGGCCAGGGATGAGAAACGAATAATTTTATTTGTATGGGCTTACCATAATGCGGGCTTATTTTTTTTTGAAATATTTCTATTTTTGTAGCGAAAAAATTAAAAAGATAGTTCTGGCCGGAAATTAGTAAACAATTATGTAATGCGGGCCAAAATTTTGAAGATCCTCGGGCGTTAGCCAATCAAAATGGAGGATCTGCGCTTTTTAGGGTTATAGCTGAATTGAAAATTAGTCAAAAATTATACTTTTATTACCGAAATGATTAGCATACGTATGGGCGGATTTTTGGTGATATTTTCGAATTTGATCATCATCATCAAGTGTAGTGGTTAGTTTATTATTTATTTACGGCAGTCTATTGGGGAAATTCCTAATTTTATTAACATGAGAAAGTCATTCTTTATTGCATTTCCTTTTTTAGTTCACCTTACATTCACAATGTTACTTTACAGTGTTGCTTCACAAAACCTTAATTGTGAGTTCTCCGCTTCGCTCCGAACGATACACCTGTTACAACGTTTCACAACATTCCATATTGAATACAGAACTGCGATCTCAATTATTTTAAAAAAATTTTGGAATTTTATTTTTAAATATCGATATGATATTTTAAACATGGCCCAATCATTTGAATTAGAAAAATGGATAGATAATAATTTTTTTGAAAGAAATCATATCAGATTTCCTTCACATGATTTTTTAAAAAATTGTAAATTTGGCAGCAAAACGCTATCCACTAATAGTTGTAAACTTTTTTTACTAAGGTGTAATAAATTTGTAGTTTTAAATAACTTTACCTTTTCTCAGCAATATAAACTTGAAGATTTTATCAATGAAGTAAGCTTTATTATATTCTAAAACAATAATTATTATTTTTAATAAATATATAACAGTGTAATGTCCGGTTATTCTTATTACGTTATTTAGTTAAAACAATACCAAAAAGTAGAATTACATAAAAATATTTTAAAATTCGTAGCTATTATTAAGCAAAATACGAATGAATATATCTTCATACATGAATACGCTTATGATGGAACTCTTTGTCAATATTTAAAGAAAAATTTTAACAAGATTAATTGGGATGATAAGTTAAACATTGCAAAACAGATAGTTGGTGCCGTAAAGTGCTTACACGAAAATGATATAGTTCATATGAACTTGGTATGTCACATAAATTCATTTATTATTATTTATTTATTAGCAACAAAAATGTTAAATTATATTTTTAATATTTAGAATTCTGAAACTATATTTATTCAAAGAGGAGATATCAAAATTAGTGTTTTTCAATACCAGAAAAAATATTCGAATAAGTTTAAATATATACAATATACAGATCCTCAACGTTTACAAAATCTTGAAACTTATAAGCTTAACAAAAGTTCAGATATATATAGCATTGGAGTTCTTTTATGGGAAATTTCAAGTGGTGTTATTCCATTTAAATCTAATTTATCTCTTAATTATCATTTATTAAATGCTATTATTCATGGCAAACGTGAAGTCGCAGTTCTTGGAACTCCTAAAAAATATATGAAAATTTATACAGGTAAACCAAAAAAAATATCGATATGTTATTATGCATAAATATAAATTTTAAATTTATGTTATACTTTGCTTTTTAGAGTGTTGGCAACATAATTCAAATCTGCGTCCAACTATTCACCGTATTTTTGAAGATTTAAACAATTTAGATTATGAAGATACAATCAATAATGAAGAAATGTATACTAAAGATGAAATAAATAAATTAACAATAGATGAAACAGAAACTTTGGGTGAAATGGATTTATTAAAGAATTCTTATGATGAATTAAGCAAAGAAATTGAATTAATTTCTTCAATTATTACAACTCTTAAAAAATCCATGAAGGAGAATAATTCATTTAGTAATCAAAACAATATCTTAAATTTATCAGGTTCTTTACTTATTTTAAGTAACCAAAAAAAACAAGATTACATTAACAATGATCAGGAATTTATTTATGATTTATATCAATTCTTTATAACGCAAGTTAATATACAAGGAGGTTTAGGAAAATCTAGAAATCATATAGCTTATCGTATAGATCAATATTTAAATGATTATAACAAGAATCCTAATGAAATTTTTGATCAATACATTGATAATTACTATAAATCTTGCTTTACTAGCATTATCGGTTTTTTTTATGAATATGGAATTGGAACAACCGTTGATTACCAAAAGGCATTTAAAATGTATAATCAAGCATCAAATGATAATTATTTTACTGTTAGTGAAACATTAACCAATTCTGATCACTTTCTTCCAATAAACGATTTAATGAAAGAAAACAGAATAATTGGATTAATATCTCTTGGTTTACTTTATATGGATGGAAAAGGAATTACTGCAAATCAACAAAAAGCATTACAACTATTTTTAAAATCAGTTGCCATAGGTTCGAATTTAGGAAAATGCTTTGTTGGAGATTATTTTTATAATTATGGAGTTGTTAAAAATTTTACATTTTCAATTGATTGGTTTTTAAAATCTGCAGAAGAAGAAAATGCAAGAGCACAATTTCTTGTTGGAAATTGTTATTATAATGGTGATGGTATTTATAAAGATAAAAAAAAGGCGTTCGATTGGTTTTTGAAATCAGCTGAAAATGGAAATATAGATGCACAATTGTTTGTAGGAAATTGCTACCGAGATGGCATAGGAACTTCTGTAAATCAAAGAAATGCTTTTAAATGGTACACTGAATCTGCCAAAGGAGGCAATAGTTTAGGACAAAATAATCTTGGTGACTGTTATCGATATGGTATAGGAGTTTCTATAAATGAAAAAATGGCTTTTGAATGGTATATGAAATCTGCCAAAGGAGGCGATAGTTTAGGACAAAGCAATCTTAGTTATTGTTATCAAGTTGGTATGGGCACTTATGTAAGTGAAAGTAAAGCTTTTGAATGGTGTTTAAAATCTGCTGAGGCGGGAAATAGTTCAGGACAAAATTTACTTGGGGTTTGCTATCAATGCGGCATAGGAACTTCTAGAGATGCAAAAAGAGCTTTCGAATACTATAAAAAGTCTGCCGAGGGAGAATGCAATATAGGAAAAAGAAATCTTGCTTATTGTTATCGATATGGCATAGGAACTTTTATAGATGAAGATAAAGCTAAGGAACTTTTGGCTGAAGTTGCACTTGAAATACAAGATAATTAAGCTATTTGCTCACGATTATGCATAAAAAAAACCTCAAATGACTAATTAAGAAAGTAATAAATTACTGTAATTTGTTGATTATGAATTGACGATTGTTATTTTTTAATCTCCACCGATTGAAAAGTAACTCAGGTCACTATGTATTTTATATTAAACTATATAATGGAAATTGCATAATATAATATTATATATTTACTGTAGAATATATTACGTATTTTGTAAATTATGATTTGTACAATAAAAAATCACCAGCTGGTTAAGACAATTCTTCGAATCTCTTCTATATTATTTTATTGAATTTCTTCTATATTATTCCATTGAATTTCTTCTATATTATTCCATTGAATTTCTTCTATATTATTTAATCATGAATTCATAAAGTTTCAATTTTTTAAGTCATGAGAATT